TCAATTAATAATAATATAGTGGTAAAACGACACCAATCTAGAATCTATTCTCGCCAATTATAACCGACTCATATGTGTAACCGGATCAGAATCAGCTGATGTAAGTTGACGAGTTAATTTAAGTAATGACTGTTTGTTCAGTAATGCAGTGTGTCGGTCGTTTAGTAATCTCATTTGCAATTCAATCAATCAAGTATTCGAATCATACCTCGCACAAGAATATAAAGCAGCTAGAAACTAAAGTTTGAAAAATGATTAAGGTAAAGTATTAGGCCTCATAAATAGTATATATACAAGTTGTAAAGAAAATATGTAAATATTATTCCTTAATTTAAACAAGACAATTGTTTTTATTTAGTGAAATTTTAAGTACTATTTTATAACATTTGAATCCCCTAAAAATAAAAAAAGATCACAAGAGGTCTCTATGAAGCATTCAAAGTCTGTAAAATTCAATCGCCAATTATTATTTTTTTTTTTGAAACCTAACATCACATAATCAGTATGAACTGACTATGTGATAACTGACTAGATCCATTAAAGTTTTGGCTTGATGTAGAAACATTTTAAAATATGAAAAACTGAAGCTCACACAATGCAGTTAGTTAATTTTCTTTAAAGCTAAGGTTTTATTTGTTTGCCTGAACAGTTTACGTTAAGGCCTCAAGCTTACACTGTAAATGTTAAAATTGTTGATTGGCTTTTACCGATGCTAGGTAATCCAGTAAGTAATTACTAATCTGTAATCAAAATCAACAAAGTCCTAAAGTGCTGCAAGTATTAAAAGAAAAATTAAATTATAAATTTGCAACAAATACAGTCTACTTTCCTATTACAAAAAAAACCTTCATAGGCGTACACGGCAACCATATTTCTTACTTATACAATAGAGAGTAAATCCATCGCTATAATCCAAGTTGTATGAATTAGAAATATCTACATTTCATAAGAGGTAGTGAATTTTTATTGTAACGATCAGTGACTTAAAGTGTGTTTCAGAGAGGGATCCGCACAAGTAAATTGCTAATTTTCACAATTAATTAAATGAAACCAATTTGTAATCTGAGTTCAATTTCTTTTTACAAAGTGACTAATAATCTTAATTGGCTTAGTCCACTCTACTAAGATACGATCTCAAAAGCTTTTCATTTAGCTTGTCTTTCAGTTTTAATTAAACCATCATGAATCCTTCGAAACTGAATCTTCCTATAAATTACTATTAATTTATCTTACTATTAACACTTAAAACCCTGGAAATCTCCGTTAGAACCGGCAGAATACGATATTATGTTACTGGACACTCCAGGAAACAGTTGAGTTTTTCAATTACCACGCCTAGAGATCAAGATGTAGCCACATATTCTCACATACAACGTCCCCTTCAATTAAATCAACCACAGACAATACACAAGGAAATCACCAACAGTTTTGAAGATAAATAAAATTATAATTAAAATAGGATGCAAGAAGTTTACACAGATGTCAAAAACAACTAAAATAATTATATTAATCGAAAAGCCTTTTTAAATCCAACTGATATTGTACAAATCATAATATTAATAATAATTATTATTAATATATTATTAATATATATATATATATATATTATTATATAATTATATATAATAATAATATAATATATAATATATATATATATATATATATTATATCAATAATATATATATATATAATATTAATATATATATAATATATTATTATTATTAATATTATTTTCTTGCAAAATTAATATCAAACGTTGTAGTAGTAAGTCCCAAACTTAAAAGGGGTTTACTTGTACTTTTCGTTTTAAAAGGTAAATACCGGTTGAACTGCAAGCCCTTAAACAATTTACCAGTTCCTCCTTGGCCTGTGAGTAGTAAATTAATTAGACAATTAGACCATTTTATCGTTCAAAACCAGCTTCACCTACCATGCATTGGAAATGCATTTGATCAAATATTGAAAATGAAAACCAAAAAATATTTGTAATATCGTAAATATTATTGACCAATAAAACACTTGTTCCAAATAAACAAAGGCTCAACATACAATATTTATTACAATATTTGATTTTTCAGCACCACTTTCGATATACGTAGGTGTTTCGAGTAGGATTAGGCTACTGTTGTGTGTTTGAGCTATTGTTGCAGGCCAAAGATGTTCGGTATGCGACTATATAAATATAGATTTTGAACATCTTCTCCTAATCTTTACAATGTTTATTTAGTTACTGATTTCCTTTTTATTCTCGCTTTGCCATCCATTATTTTTATAGTGCAATAAACATCAACAATATTGTTTCTTACTTGTGATATTAAGTTTGAAATGGATTGACCTTTATCAAGTTAATTGTTAATCTAACATATTTGTATATTCTGTATTTTCGATACTGAGACGAAAGATCAAGGTAAATAGCATAAATTAAATATTGTTTATCTATTTACCTTATGAAAGTTATCATAAGTAATCATTCTTTACTAATTTAGCTTAGTAATATAACAGTTTTTATTTTTTAAAGAGCTAAATGTACATACGAATAATAAAAATTGGGTTTATTTTAGTTTCAGTTTACAATTGGATCTTAACACCAACATTTAATATTTTCAATTACATAACTTAAGCCACGTTTAAGGTTTACAGATGTTATAGAAGCTGTCTCAGTCAACATTAGTAAGACGACGTTAAGCTTGTCAAAACATTTACTCTTCCCAAAGACTATTAGGTGGCTTTGAGAGCATTCAATAGAATCGTTTGAAGATGGAAACCACAAACATTTGACTTACCATTCCTTTATAAATACAATCCACTGCTTATCATAAATCATTTTCTTCTAAAGTGGGCTACTGTCTAATTTCAGAACTTTACACGTGCATTGATAAAATACTTAGTAACACTCAAAGATTTGCTGTCTAATACACATTTTTCCTAATTGTCCAATGCATGGACAACATCTTTCTTTCCCTATATTACAGCTGTTGAAGTCCAAAAACATACTACAAGCAATCATTAATAACCGCCAGTCATATTTACGGGGGGGTGCAAAAATAACTGACACATTTTAACATAAATTTTATTCACAAAATGTTTACTTCAATGTAACATTTACATATAAATAGATAGAAACACTCAAACAGTTTTGGGCGATATTCACTAAATCTCAATATGGCCACCGTTAAGAGCTCTGCCAGCGTTAAATAAACATTTTGCACATTGGTAATGTCTACAGAGCCTTAAACAGTGGCCATATTGAGATTTATTGAATATTGCCAGGTTTGAGTTTTTCTATCTATGTAAATGTTACCATTTAGTAAAAATTTTGTAAATAAAAATGTATGTTAAAATGCGTCTGTTCTTTTTGCACCCCCCTGTATTTATATCAATTAATTTGAATTTATATAACATATATATATAGCATTAAATTTTCATGCACAATGGATGGAACTTCAGTGTAATATCATTAGTGCTTTCGTTCCAAAACGTGTACATTTTTACGTGATTGTATGATGTTTAAATAAAAATCTGACGGTAACTACTTTGCTTACGATTTGAAGAACGCTTTTAACTTTAAATTAAAACACCCTATTTTAAATCCCTACAAATAATTAAAACTGTGAATATTGATTTAACCATAATATGATGTGTATAATCCGTTTAAGCGTATTTTGAAGCTAAACACAATAATACGAGTAATAAGTGTTTAAAAAAATGTTAGGATTGTAAAGGTAGTAAGTGTGTAAGTTATTATTTTTGAAACATCCCTATAGCCCTTTCCTACCCATAGATAACTGTAGTAATCACGACTTCCACACCCTTATGTTATCTGTTATGTACTAAACAGTCCCATTGACTCCTGTAATACTCAAAAAATCCTGTTAAATTTAGTCCTGAATCGTTGGCAGCAATAGGAAATAGCTTCTTGTCACCATTTTAGTTTTATGAAAAAGTCTGCAGTGAGAGGTCACAATTTGCTTCGCTCTCGAGAATTCCATATTTTGGATTTTGTTAAGGTGAGTATACATTATTAACACTTACAAAAAAATTACATGTGATAACCTACAGTGTTTTCTTTCATATTCATTTTAATTCAAGGACAAATATATTGCCAGGTGATTACTAGGTTAGATTTTTGTCGTGATTGACAGGATACTCATTAGACACTTTTTTTACATTAGTGAGGAATAGAATAATAATTATTCGTTTTGGGGTATTTTTAGTTATGAGTAAAATAATGACTGGGACGATAAGTTACCCATGGACCAATATTTTATTTATTGTTTCTTAGGATAAAAATATATATATTTCATGACATCTATATAATATACCTATCAAAAATTTGCAATAATTTTGGTATTGATTTTTTCCCTTACAGATATGTAATATGGACCACGAACATTGTACAAGTTCAGAAATGAATGAACTGTTAAGAGGAGATATTTCTGATGTCGAGGGGTTGAGGATGGAGAAGATGACGATGATGAAGTTACGGGAGACGTTCTTGTGTCAAGGATTGAAGAATTCAAAATCATGCTGGAAGAACTTGAAATGAATTTGCCTGAAGATGAAGAAAACGGAGATAGAGAAGAAAATGAGGATGAAAGAGATGATACAGTTGATAATGAAAATGAAATAATGCAAGAGGAGCAGCAACCAGTGGGCCAACATGACGCAATGGATGAAATTTTGAGAGAGAAAGTGGTACCAAATGAAAACATCCCTCTTTTTCAAACGTTGACAAAAAAAAAACAACAGAAAGGATGGTTGAAACAAAAGAAAATCAAACGCTAGCAAGATTTTGATCATAATGAAGATACAATTCCTGAATTAGAAACAAACTCTATAATGGCCCCTCCTCCTCAAGAGATACTTAACCCTAAGGAGTATTTCTATAACTTTTTCGATGAAAACATGGTTGAACACATAACTAACCAAACTAATTTTTTTAATTAAAAATGGGTTAATCAATTAACACTTCAGTTGCAGAGATGGGCCAATTTATAGGCATGAATCTTCTAGCAGGCATCGTAAAAATGCCAGCGCACCAAATGTACTGGGCAGCTGGCACCAGGTAGCCGACGTCACGTCTAGGAATCGTTTCAATTCAATACGTAACAATTTTCATATGAATGGCATAACAAATGTTCCCAATGAAAACGACCCCAACCATGATCGAATTTTTAAAATCCGACCTTTCATTAATGCTCTCAGAGACAATATGAGGAAAATTGACGTCGATAACAGGAGTGCAGTTGATTAAATAGCTGTCCCTTATAAGGGGAGGTCTCGGTTAAAACAATATAACCCTTAGAAGCCACATAAATGAGGTGTTAAAGTTTTTGCTCTGGCATCGGTGTCAGGGATCGTCCATAATTTTGAAGTTAATGTTGGGAAGAATACACTCCCTAATTCAAACCTTTGTATCAGTGGTGACATAGTTTTGAGGCTTGTTGAAATTATGACAAAACATCTCAACTACAAAGTATTTGAAGAAAATCTGTTTAACTATCACAAACTTAGGTGTGCTTTGAAAAATGAGGGCTTACTGGCATTGAAGACAGTTAGAGAAAACCGGAGTGGGAGATGTCCTTTTTCTAAAGATAAAGACCTCCTGAAGAAAGGCCATGGATTTTCCAAAATGAAAATAGATGTAGACAACAAAGTTAGAGCGTGCAAGTGGGTGGACAACAAAGTAGTTTGTCTATTGTCTACATTTTCAGGTGCCGACCCGGCTGATGAAGTAGAACGTTGGTCAGAGGCTGAAAAAAGGAAGATCCAGGTTCCAAGGCCTGCAATAGTCATGGAGTATAACGCGTCGATGAGAGGAGTGGACCTACATGATATGTTGGTGGAACTTTGCCGCAATAACATCAAGGTCTCTAAACCTTATCTAAGGATATTTTATCACATGGTAGACAAGGGTGTTGTAACCTCATGGCTGTTGTACCGCAGACACTTGAAACACATATTTCCGGACACTAAGCGAAAGACCTTGGTGGTAATCAAAGATGAACTTGCAGAGTCTCTCATCAAAAGTAGTAAAAGTAAAAGAGATATGAAGAGGGGAAGACCAAGTGCGGAATCGGCAGAAAACCCTCGGCCAAAGAAACATACTGTTGCCGCTAGACCTGCTGAGGAAGTTCGTTGCGACAGTGTGGAGCATTCGAGTAATTCTCCGTCCAAGAGAAGTCGCGTATCCAAAGATGGTTTAAAATGTTTTCATCTAGAGGTTAATATTCGTAAACAGTATAGGGAGTTTATAAACTTCAGAAGTTTTAAGATGCATTAATCAATCCCTTTATACAATTAGTATAAAAATAAACAGAAGCACGTATGAAAGAATTAGTTATTGAATAGTTATTAAAAATAGTTATTAAGAATAGTTATTGGCCTTGAGGGTTCCATGAGTTTGGCAGTCAATAAGTCAATATGTCATTTATGGCAGTGGTGGAGCTGTTGAAATGACCATGTGTAGAGTGGGGGTGAGGGGTCGAGTGGTAATCTGTAATGACCGCATATGTATTGTCTACCGCAGCCTCCAGGCTATTGCATGTTATAATCTGTCAAAGGCCGAGTTGTAGCCGCGCGACCCTGGTGATGTCCACTAGCTCTGCACCCTGCACCACCCACGTCGGCTCAATGATACTAACACATGCCGTTTGTCCTATTTTATCACCACAATTGAAATACCAAAGTAATTCTGTAATAATAATAGAATAAAGAATTTTTCGACTTTTCGCCCATTTTATTCCTTGTACATTGAATGGAGCATAGGTTAATTTTCTGTTTACATAACATATTTTCTATAACCCTAATAAGTGGAAGTATTTTAAATTATATATTAATAAATAACAGCGTATATCTACAGTTTTCGAATACAATCCAAAAATACACAGTTTACAATGATTTTTCTAAAACTTACTTTGTATAATAACAACATGCCTGAAAGAAAAATCATGAAACATGGAATCACGTCACAACAGGTTGTTCATATTATAATAACTATCGCAAAACAAACGATCAAAGAATCTGGAGAACATTTTAAATGTGATAACGTCGTCGTTTTTTTACAAAACTCCTCAAGGTTTAAAACTGGGTTAGTTGAATATTTGCTATTTGGAGATTCTGAGGACATCAAACAAATCATCGTCCTATTAACAGTATTAACAGACCGAAATCAACATTGGCTCTGTGATTACGCCATTTGTTGAGTTACTGTGTCAAGTTGGGTTTACTGATCAGAGAACCACTTGGCTTCAACTTTTAACAAGTGATTATTTTGAATAGTTTCTTTTGCAAGTTCTTGTAAAATAACTATTCGTTCTACTACTAACGATATTTCTGGTTGGTGTTCTCATATTTCCGTTTGATACTTGTATTCTTACTTGCATATTTTACTTCCATACTGTTGTACTTGTACAGTTATGCACGTACTACCTCTATATTAACACCACGTTATTTAGTTAAGTTCTATTGTTAATATTTTTGATTTACAGCATTATGGTTCTAGGTATAATTATAATTGTGATTTCCTTGCATCGACAGGGTTTGTTTATTATTTTGGTTATGTTTGAAGCAATTTCTCACCTAAAAACTTCATGAAAACTTTGACATTTTCTTTTCACGATGGAAAATGTCCACAATAACCTTTTAAAGAATGGAACTATTTGAATTTGTAGATTATTGCTCAAAGCAGCACGCAATCAATTATTAGGTACTCCTAATGTAATCTATGTGGAATATATTGATGAAAATCTTTCGAATCAAAATAAACCGTTAAATAGTAAAAGTACGTGTAAGAGTACATTTGTTTCTATTTTTATATTATGCTTTCTAAAAACAAACATACAAACAATGCATTATTGACTTATTAATGAGTTATCAGTTGTTTTGGGGTTTTTATTTAAATTTATTTCTATATGAAGAATGGCTCATATAAGTGCAGAGTAAACAACTGTTTCCTTGGTGTATGAATTTGGGTGAGGCCTCATGTGCCCTAAGATTGCATAAAACTTCGGCATACTTTTCTACTTGGTAAAGGAAGAACAGTAGAAAAGTTTCTGTCAAGGTTTTTTTTTGTAATTAAATTTAATACATAGTTTTTCATGTAACAAAACATGCATAGTTAAATGTTGTTGAATATGTACGATTGTACGTCAATACATACCAGCACAATTAGGTTTTTTTTAATAAATAACAGCAAGAATCTAATAACACTGGCCGTAGTACTTAGAGGGGAGAGGTGCAAACGAAATGCAATATCTAATCTGATTTAAAGTAAATAAAAAGAATAGATCTTGTAATGACTAGTGATAAGATTGCAACTATGTAAGGTGCTACGGCGCGCCGGGGTCGTGACCTTTCTATTTGAGGCTCTCCCGTACTACGCTCCTCTACCGTATCGCCTTACAAATAAAATGCTCGGAATCGCTCAAGTCGAGCTGGGAAACTCCTAGGTCCGCTATTGAAATTTTAATCAACCGTATTTGTCGTTTGTTAAAGCTCAGAGTGACACCTCACCACAGGGGGTCGACGATGTCATCCCACTCAGCATCGCTTTAATAATCACTTTTAAAAACAATTGCTAACGCTGTGTTGTTCTCGCGTGTCTCGTGCCAGGCTAATTCGCCGGTCTTGATCAAATTAACCAACTCCGTATGCCACAATATCACCCTAATTGCCAGGCTAACTCGCCGGTCTTTCTAACCTACAAAAATTTAATAAAATAAAATATTCCCCTACTTGCCAGGCTAAGTCGCCGGTCCTTCTAAAGTAAAAATAATTAAATAAACTAAAATAATTCCCTACTGGCCAGGCTAACTCGCCGGTCTTTCTAACCTACAACAATTTAATAAAATAAAATATTTCACTTCTTGCCAGGCTAACTCCGAACTCGCCGGTCTTTCTAAAGTAAAAATAATTAAATAAACAAAGTATCTGAAATATATCTGCAAGGGCTTTACTTCCCAAATAGTCTATTATACACTTAAACAGCAATACTCGACTTGAGAAGTGAAGGCGGCCAACACCAGAGAAAATAAGCTGGGATTTCAGTTGGACTTCTTCGCTTGGTTTCACCTAACTTTTATTGGACTCAATTGCTGATTTTAACTGTCCTCGAACGGCCAGCGGCTCTGGTTTTATCAGCCGCAGGAGTAGCGAGCTCCAGCGGTGATATCCTGGACTACTTCCGTGTTCAGCGGCCTCCAGCGGCCGGCGACGTAAGCTAGTCGCTGTTATCGGGGTTGACCCTTGTCCCCGAACCAGCTTATTGTCCTCGCCACTAACACCTTTTGCTTTCTAACGGTTGTAAATATCAACGTAGAACCAGTCAAAATTTACAACTGTTACATCTCCTCCTGACTTTGTGTGAACAAAAAAGAAAATCGAGAAAAGAGAAAAAAAACTCTTACTTCAAACAAAATAAACTTCAGTACACAAGCTAAACATTTAGTATCGTTGTCCTCGCGAAATATATGCCTTGGCTCGGCTCACATTCATCCGTTGGAAGGATCCGTCTGGCATCCACTCTTTCACTCTTTTGGGTCGGTATCTGTTCCCCGTCTGGAGTGAGGTATGTGGATTGATGACTATCTTCCGTTTTCCCTCTACGCCCAGTGTATTCATGGCTGTTGTAGGAGGTTCTCTCGCTCTTTCAACATCCTCGTTGGCTTCGTCATTCATCTCGACGTCGGAAGTTGTCAGCATCAGACAATCATCTGAATCTTTGGGGTGATCCTCCTTTGGTGGATCCGTAAGTGGTTCCTCGATGTAAGGGAGGGTGTTGGAAAGATCTTCCCTGGATGTTATACAGGGCTTTCTGAATTCAGGGCTCATACGTTTGGATCTCGACATGCGGTTCAGCTCCTTGTTTATGTCCTCCAATACTGGGTCACTGGGAATCACGATCTCGGGCTTGGACCCATTGTGGATAAATGTGCGTATACAATTTTACAATGACCAATGGTGTCGTCATCGGGGTGAATCGTATTCGATCGGTGATGGGTCGTTCCAGTAGCTGGAAATCTTCATTTTTCTCCTGATTGCTGCACACATCTGTTTGCGTAACTCATTAGAACATAAATTTACTGATGCGAGATTTTCCTTACGTGCGATAATCTCGGCGAAGGCACAGACGAATATACGACAGTCCGCCTTGTTGGTCTGTCGAGGGTTATCAGACGGTGTCCCACAGATTAACCATTCCACGGGATCAAGTTGTACCTTCTTTGCCTTGGCCTCCTCCTGTAAAAATGCCATCACATCTGCAGCATGCCATGGTTAGTCTATGCCGCAGTGTGAGGATCGTACACAATATGGTGCTTTTTGGTCCAGACTATAATCACCGACCAGTGGCCGGACTCTCCGATGTAGGGGGCATGTACAGGGAATATCAACAGATCTCTAGAGAAGATATTCGTTCCCTTGGTCCATTTCCCTACTTTTTCATAATTCCCCAGTTTCCAGGCAGGAAAAAACAAAGAGTCAAAAGTATATACCATGGGATAAGTATCTTAGTAGTGGTTTCTCCTTTCTATCAGTGTCATATATGAATTCATGCAATTATCGTTCAATAAGTTAGATACCGTAGAAACAAGATGAGTCATCTGTGGAAGTTCGAATTAGTGGTCTCAAGGCATACATGTTCTTAAGTCACCGTTACAGCCCAGCAAGCATGGAATCCTGGACAAAACAAACACTCTACTGGTACAAGCTCAAGCACATGCAATATATTCCCGCCACCAAGCATATTCTTAATTTATCTAGCTACTTTGACTAACTTACGGGCTACTGTTGCAGCTATATTTCGTATGTAGTCTAATGGAATGATTTAAGATCTTTCACGTGTACTGTTATCATCCGGTCCGTTGGCTTATTTAAATTTCTCACGCGAAACAGATTATACCCTCTCTTTTGGATAATTTCGTAAGGTCCATCGAATTTTGGTGTTAATTTGATGGAGAACATGTCAACGGCAGAGGATAGCGGATGGCTCCTGACCAAAACTCTTTTCCCTATAGTGAAAGGGTTCTCTCTTCGGCGTAGATTATACTACTTCGCTTGGCGATTGAAGGCTTTTCTAGGTTGTCTTGACATTGACATGATATAGAAGTCTGAACCACGTCATACGTTGATTGTGTTGAGTTTCTGCGGTACCTGCTTCGTGTGTGCTGCTTCGTGTTCGTGTTGCGGTGCTGACTCCTTTGATTTGTTCGTCACGGTTTTGGCCGTAGCACATGTCAGAGGCAGCTTGAGCAAGTCTTTACATATTGCCTAACTTCTTTTCTCAAACCCGGCCAAAAATAATTCTCAGCGATTCGGGACTCCGTTTTCTTGAACCCAAAATGACCGGCAGTAAGTCATGGGTCTCGTGTAGTACTTTCATTTTTTCCGACGCATGGACAGAAAGTTTCCAGCTTTCCGTCACCACGCCCGATTTTCCGGTTCTTTGGACAAGCTTATACAACTTGCCTTCCCGGATTGTAAATTTTTCGTACGAAGACGGATTTTTGTTAACTTTTTCGAACAAGGTGTCGTACCAACGATCTGGGTCCGACTGCTCGATAATTTCGGCTGTTTGCTCGACTATTGGGCAAACCATGGTACGGACATCTTTACCCGGAGGATGCTCAATGGGATTTCGTGGCAGTGCATCAGCGACCCTATTGGTCGGCGTTCCCTTACGATACTCGACCTCGAATTCGTATCGTTGGATATCTAACAACCAAAGAACCAAGCGGCCGGACGTTTCCTTGAGTCGTAGTAACCATTTGAGGGCGATGTGATCCGTCATAGCTACGAGTTTTTTACCCTTCTAGGTACTGTCGGAACTTTTTAACGGCCCACACTAAAGCGAGACATTCCTTTTACATTGGAAAGAAGTCTACTAGCATACGCGATTACGACTTCTGCATTATTTCTCTTTTGAGTTAAGGAAGCCCCGAGGCCCAAATCTGACGCATCAAGTTGCAATTTAAATGTTTGACTGAAATCTGGACACGATAAAATAGGCGCTGAATCGAGACGATTTTTCAACTCAAGTTTTCCTCTTGTTTCCTACTCTCAATATTTTACCGTTACAAACCATTCTATGCTGAAGGCAGTGATCCACTTCCTACGTTTAAAAGGTAATTTTGCGAATTCATCTTCTCCATCATTTACTCATATATTTCTTTATAATTTCAATATTGTGTTATAAGTAATCGAGTTTGTTATTTTTAACAGCTTAGGGCTGTAAAAGAACTTCATGCATAAGATACAACTGAGACAGTCTTTCAGAAATCGTTTGCGTGGCTTTGCTATCAAATGGTATTTTCCTTAAACTTCGGTAATAAGTCAAATCTTGAAATAATAATCAATCCATTGCTGATATTTAAAATGATAGCATCATGATTTGTTGCCTCTAAGATAAACCTGTTATTATTAGTTTAATTGTACAAATCTTCCATGGCTAGAATTTAGAGCAATTATTATTAAAACTTTTTATGTCTCGACATTTTCAAAACAGGTTATGCTGAATCAGTTAAATATCTTTCAAAAACTTTTGAAAACTCATTATCTGCTCTTTGTCTTATCAGTATGTTCATATAGTATATATGTGATATATTTATTTGATACAAACAATGTTTTAATCATTATCAACACAACACTAACAAATACTGATAAATCAAATCAATGAAACACTTAACAAAATACACGTTAAAACTAAACCATTTTCTTCCTTTAAAAAATATATGATAGGTTTCGTTAACAAAACTGTCATGTAATTTAATTTGAGTAAAAATTTTAGGAAAGTAAATAAAAGAAGGGTCTCATAACACTTAAAACATATATTTACGCTTATACTGTTACTCACAATAAGGACACATAAAAGATGGTAAGTGGTGATCGATGTCGATTCGACACTCCAATCATCATCAGACCCAATAGGCGAATGATAAAAATAAAAATTTTAACAAATCATTTGATCAGGTGCTATATTACAACTGACAATCAAACATAAATATGAAATCAAAACAAAATAGAAACAATTTAAAAACAACTTTCTCCCCAGTTAATCTTATGAGAGGGAATCCAACTTTGATTGAAACTCCGGCTGAAACTAATCAAGTATGAAAGAAAATGCAAACTGCTTTGCAAAACCACAGATGATGGCCATGTTTGTGACATTTAAATTATTAATACTGGTATAAAAGATTATGGAGAAATTTTGTTCGAAAAAAATCGGCTAAACGTATTATATAATATATAATACATAGATGCCATCTTTATATTTACGCTGCACACAAAACGAAGATTTCTTAAGGCAATGTTATTCATTGTCTTGTTTGACCTAAGTAAGTAGATAACTTGCAATCAATGCAAGTGGTTAAACTGTCTAAACAATGATGTCTCTCTCAGTGTTGCCAATACTGCAGCACTAAATCTGTAACACCCGATCACCAGGATGATATTT